TTTCCGTCCCAAATACCCTAAGTGAGGCCAAAATTTGCAAGTTACACCCCTAAGCAAGACGACAAGCATTTTCGTCACTTATATACGGGAGTCCCTCCCCCCCGGAATAATGTCACTGTTTTGCTCTATCTGATTTAGGGAAGTTGAAGCTGAGGTTCAAGTAGGAGCGTGTGCGAATGCGAAGGTTAAAGTCAATGAAGAAATTGGAAACCTGGAATTGGAGAAGATACACAAAGTGTACGTACAAGACCCGGGGTTGCGTGATATATTAAAGTTAATAGAACTGGACAGCGACAAAGTCAAAGATATCCAAGGTCACAAACTTCGTTTGATAACTTCAGTAGTTTACAGTGAGCGGTTGAAACTTAGAGGCAAGAGATTTACTGAGGTAATGAAAAATAGATGATTATTTACCTGCCTTTCAAGACCACCTTATACTGCTCAATGGCAGCGGCCACTAGATTGCGCCCAAAGTGCCAAAATAACCTCTCCGCTAAGAACATCTAAAAGTGAAGCAAACCGGTGTATACGCACTCCACTTTACTCTCTTGGGTTCTTGGCCTTTTTTTTTTGAACCGCTGGTTTCTGTTGTATTGATACATTTTGATGGCGTTAATGTGCTATAATAAGCACTTAAAAAAAAGCAGCCCTACCTCCCTACAACGGCAAACCAACCTCTCCACTACGGCTACTAAGCTAGTCGTTGTATACATTTATCGACTGTATTTGTTCATGTATCTGGCAGTGTCGAGAGAATGACTTATGGTATCGTATGTCGAGAGAATGGTGAAGCCACTTAAAGTGAGGTCCCAGAAAAGCGTTTGCTCCGTCAAGTTCTAAATCACACTTTCCGCTGTATAAATAAGAATAAGGAAAGCGTTGGCTGTTCGATGCAACGTGATTTTCGGTAGCACTATATTTTATGCTTCGGAACAAAGATAAAGCCTTACTCTTTTTTAAATAAGAATGTGGTTCTTCCTGCCCAGACTGAATGTTCTTACTTTTCTGCCATTTTAGGCTGAAAAGATTGTTGTGTTATTCGTAAATTATAACTTATGACTTTTCTGTCTAAGAATATATTGGGGTATCAATTAAGTTGGTGCACGTTTTTATGTTTTGTTGGCTTGTTTTGCCGTTTAGGGAAAGGAATAAGTTGAAAACATATAGCTATATTGTATTTACAGATTTACAACACACAAAATTATATCTTTTTCAAAATCTCAGCTTGGGGTTTATTCTTAAAATATTCTTAAAATTTCGCAAATTTCGGCCTCGATATTCTTATAAATTTAAATAAATTCTTATAGAAAAAAGGAGTGTATCCGGGCTGAAGGTCCCCGGCTGACTTGCACTTAGGCTATAAATTTCAGTTTCCTTTTATTACCGTCCAAAAGGAGGGGTCCTCTGGAGATACTAAGTGTAGATTGCAAAACAGTCGGTTTTTCCTCAAAATCGTTTTTATGTAGCGTCAGTCTCAAACGTGCAAGGCGCGCGACCCTGCACTCCCGTAGGCTCTCCGTTTTAAGCCTCGCTCCAGACCTTTTGTTTGACTGTTCGCACGTACTTAAATATGAAAAAAAACGGACTGCTTTAGTAGTCTATACTAAGTATATCATGCAGTAAACTTGTATCTCTCTTGGTTATTTAGTGCATAGTTCTGTTTAACCATTTTTTAATCATTATCCACTTGCAGGTTGAGGTAGATGGAGGAGTCAATTTGCCAAACAGCTTCCTTGCTCGATTGACTGGACGCTTGAAAACAAAGTACACTTTTCCAAAGCTGGCGATAAGAAAAACACATGGCCCAGTTCTGTTTAAGTGCTGCAAAGTGGTTCTCAACGAGATGGCTAATAAATTGCAACTTGCAGTTGGGGAACTTGTTGGTGCTTCCACCATCCACAGAGGTGAATATGACCATGATCCTGAAGAATACGAAAATACAGCAGTACATCTGGATGAAGACGAGCAGAGCGATTTGGAAGGTAAAAGGTTAAAATTGTTGTACACCCAACATTCTATAGTAAGGCGGGTTTACACGAGAGATATAAGAGAAGATAACGAAGAGTCACTATATGGTTTTAACCCAAAACGCGCGTGACCAGAAAACGTCCGCAATTTAAGAGCGATTTATTGCAGCCTAGTCGCCGTAAATTCTACTATGACCGAAATGTTGTGTATTCATGTGGTCCAAGTTATCTTTGCGTTCATTTTTTTATTAATATTATTTTTGCTTTATGTTAATACGCATATAGTTGTAAAATATTTAAATCGAAAACTTAACCACATTACATGTATATATTTTCGTCACGTTAGATTCCTTTTCGGAAGAGTTCGGAGATGAAAAGAACCTGGAGACAATTAAGAACTCAGTTTTGATACCAACCAAGAACAGAGAGGAGCGAAAATTGCGGATTAACAAGTACCTCAGCTGGGTAAGGAAAATCACAAATGAGCGCAGATACGACCCTAGGCGGGCCTCTCCCGTATTCGGCCTAAACGGGTGTTTGCCACTGAATAGGCCGAAGTGCGAAGCGCGCGCCAGCGGAGCCCCATAGCTAAGAAAATTTGGTTATCCGACCGTCCGTTCGCATCACAGGGTAACCAATGTGAAATCTCACACTTTCTAGCTAGTGTGGAAGCTTGTAACCTGATATTGCGCATCCATTGTATGATCAATTGACAGCTGTCCAGGCACGATATCCGCTTACTAGTATCACATGAACGTATCGAGGTTGCGTGTTTCTTTAAATTTAACCGCTGACAAGTTATTAGTTTTTAACTGACGGCAGGCTCAACTACAAGTAGGTTTTTTTTTGCAAGTTTATTTCTTTAAGTAAATTATGAATTTATTACTGAGAGCTTCGCTTCTAGCCTTGGATAAATCTATATATTAGGGTCTTGAGTCTTATACAGGATATCAATTTAACTATTTATAGTCTTCAACAAGGTATCTTTTGAGGCTTAATGCCTTAAAAGTGTGTAAAAGTTGGCCACTTCCGGTTAACTTGCGTCGCTCAAGAACGTCGTTGCTTAAGCTCCCTCTCGCTAGACCGTGTTGACCATACCGGGTGAGCCAGCCTAAGAGAGATGTTTATCCTCTCTTGACGAGCCAAAGTGTTTAAATAGAGAAAAGTTAGCTCGGCTAAAAGGGGAACTCTACCATGGCCATCGGAAAAGGGTGGCCCGGCTAGCTGAGTCAACCTTCTTGGCGAGCCAACTTTTTGTTTCTCTTGTAAACGGTTCGCTAAGTTTTGATAGGAATTGTGGAAAGGTTAGCTCGCCATGGTAGCTCGGATAGGCAAGTGAAACTCTAACCGGGGCCACCTTTTCTCCTCAATAAACGGGGCCACAGACGATTCGAGTAAACCGCCGACTCCGTTTGTGTGAATTGGACTCGTAGCACTCGAGGTATGAGTAGAGTCAGAGTACTCGGCGGCAGCATATTCTACAGCTCAGAACGTTCACTTACATGCTTTTGTTTAAAACAGTCCTGGTCAGCATTTTCACTCTGGGCGTTGAATCAAAACCTTTCATTTATTCATCTATAGCTTGAAAAAGCCTTGACAGAGAAGGAGACGAAGATACCGGTGGAAGAACCTCTTGACGAAGCGGACTGCTCATTCCTTCGTAGCGTTTATGTCGCTGCGTACCCCAAAGACCGAACAGTGAATCTGGGGGGTATGAACGAAAAGATTCAGGGATATGCAATTGTTTTTAAGCTTCTTGCAGGTGAGACGGAGTGCTAAACATAGAAAGTAGTAATATTTGCAGTGCTGGATCCAGATCTTGAGATAAGGCGGGGGGGCTCGGTTATCCAGACCCTTAGATAAAGGGGGGGCCGTCTCCCAGAAAAATTTTTCGGCCCTTGGGGCCTGAGTTTGGTCCAAACATAAGGGAGGGCAGGCCCCCCGGGTCCCTCCCCTGGATCCGCCACTGATTTGTTTGTGGCAGGGCGTTCTTTTTGGAATGTGGAAAAGAGGGAGAGGCCCCCCGGAGGAGAGGGTGACAAGTCTAGCATGCAAAAAGGAACTCTTGTCTTCTCGGAGGCGACGGCAAAGTCTATTTCTTTTTTATTAACGGTTCATTTCATCACGGTTAACCAAGTCTTTCGTCAGGACAAACGTAATGTATGTTCTGGATTATGTTACAATAAGGTGAAACAATTTTTAAAATGAATTAATGTTTAAAGCTCGGAGAAGAGCTACGGCTATAACGCGAAAGCTGGTGTGAGAAAGCAAGAATAGCAATATCACTTCAGTGCGACATTCTACACTCCTACGCTCAAAAAATAGCCTTCCCACGCGTGGGTTTAGCTACAAAAATCTACATTTTGGGGAGATATTTAGTTGGAGAGATTTTTACAGGTTTTGGTAAATATTTTCAAGGCTTTTTGTTAAGTTAGAAAAAAGCTTGAAACCATCGCCCAGAATTCTATTGTCTTTTGCGACATGTACTTACAGTGCGCAGTTTCTCAATGTGCGGCATAATAACTGAATAATAACATAATAACTAAATTTGGCGCTCTGAGTGCGCTTAAAGTTCCCGGATATGTCGCGTGATTCTGGGCGATGCTTGATACGTCTCATCGTAAGTAACCCTGAAGCCTTTGTTTGCAAAGTTTTACTTGTACTGTAAAGAAATCCTATTCGTTCATTGGTTTCTCACAGGCAATATTTTAATTTTCCTCAAAACGAAAAACAGGTTTGTCTGACAACGACTGGGAAGAAGTGGAGAAGGCCTGGGCTGAGTCAAATGTTGACAACTTGCTGCAGGAGTCTGGGCAAGAGCATTGTCAAGCCGAATCCGGAGTTTAAATTGTAAAGGTTGATTTCTAGTTAAATTGTAAAATTGTTTAAAATTGTAAACGTTGATTTCTAGTTAAGACTTTAGTACATCAGTTTAATTATGAACGTTTTGCTTTATAGACATCTGCATAGGATTACCGACTGGCATCATTCAAAAATGGCAGAAGCAGTTGAAGATAAAAGTCGAATAACCTGGGTACTTGAGGTTTCTTTCCTAGTGCGGCGGGAGGTTTCGGTGTCGGGCCGCAGCGACACATCTACGGCCGAAGCCACGAGCGGCGCGGGTCACTAAGGTTACGTCCACACGAATCCTGATATTTTTGAAACCGAATACTTTTTTATGCGAATTAGCCTTCCGTCTACACGAAACCAGTGAATCCGCTCACTGGAACCGAATTATTATTAAACCGCTCTACAGTGGCGTTTTTTAAGGCTCCGTTCACACGGATCTGGATACAACAACAACAACGAGCTTTATTTGCATGACCATACAAGCACATACAGTATGGCAAAAGCTATTTTAGGAATTCGTGTGGAGACGGCCTAAAAGACTCGACCGAAACCGGAAACCGCGCATCCGCATGAGAAGTCTCTGGCACCCAGGATAGTCGTTGAGAGAATATCGCCTTGAAAACTCTCGAATTGCGATCTGCTTTTTTTTTAGCAAGACCTATCGGCTCAAGGTAATCTGTACAACGCCGAGCATTAAAGTCACAGGAATATTAGGTCCTTAAAGTAAAAAAACTCGCGCTTCCGGTAATCCTATGAGAAGTCATTGCTCAACGTACCTCTTGTCCTTATTTTTTCTCTTTCTGGTGTGGTTAAAAAGGGGAAAGCCTTAAGTCAAAATGCTTAGCTGCTATTTAGTTTAATTTGAAATATTCTTTTTACAAAAGAGTTCCGTAAACTTGATAAGGCAATTCCTAAAAATATTGGGACCACCTGAAAAGATACCTTATTTTACATACCACAAAAAAGGGAAATCGAATGTCAATTCCTGACACCATATAAAGTTATGGTCATATTCCCTGGCATTTTCATAATGTGAAGGGAATGTTTTCGTGGGAAGATAATCTTCATACAGCAGTCGTCATGCTTCGAGTGGTATGTTTGTAATTTTGTCCAATCCTTTTTTTAGAAAGTAATGTGTCCCTTTTTCAGTTTTATATCATTGCGATTGAGGTCGATCGCAAATTAACAGCAAACGTATACCAAATTTGGTCAAGTTACCGTAAAATTCCGAAAATAAGCCCAAAGGCCCTTTTTGAGGGGCTTATCTACGGTAGCCTTATAGTTGGAAGTAAATTTGCCGTTTTGGCTTTGTTCTATTTGGAGGGGCGATTTAACGGAGGGTTTTTTGCGTTACCGGTTTGGGTAACGAGAGGCTTATTTTCGGAATTTTACGGTAGCTGATTATGAAGAATTAGCCTGGGGATTTAGGTCAATCAGGAACGAACGAATATTCTGGATGAACAATGACATATTTTTTTTTGTCCATGGGCCATTTCCGAGTTGCACCAAGCCTCTTTTTCAAAGAGAGGCTAAGTGGGAGGCTATTGACATGAAAATGATTTTATATTTTCATGCAAACAAAACTCATTATAACAAGAAAGGTTTTACACTTAGCCTCGTTCTCAAACCGGGAGAGTTTTGTAGAACTCGAGAATGGCCTATTTCAAGTTGTGCTAAGGCCGTAATGTAAGTGCAGCTGCCTTTCTCTGCAATTTTTGGCTTATTATGGGTAATGTTTAGTACTCTTATGTTCTATGGATTGGAGAAATTAAATATATAAAAGTTAAATAAAGGAAAGAGGAACTGATTGCCAGACCACCGTACTGTCATTTAGTCTTTGAGGGGCGTTTAATCTGAAAGGGATGTCTAATAGGCTTTGATGGATTATGCTACCATGATTGTTGGCATAATTCGTTATTACGAAAAAAAACTAGCAGAATTTGCATTTTTGGCAAACTTATCGTTCAGAGCCGTAGCTAGCGGGGGGGCGTGTTGAAGGCCTAAATGTAATAAACGGTCCTAAATGTAATAAAGTCCTAAATGTAATAACATTTTGTCCTAAATGTAATAAAGTCCTAAATGTAATAACAATTTGCCCTAAATGTAATAAACTCTTAAGCTGCCAATTACAGTAATTACTCGAATAAGCCCCTGCCCCCAAATAAGCGCCGCATTTGGGGCGTTTGGGAGTTATTTAGCGCCGCGGTGCTTATTCGAGTAAATGCGGTACTAAGCGGTATTGCTATGGTATTAAGCTCCGCTCTCAAATAAGCGTCGCATTTTTGGAGAAAAAGTTAATAAGCGCCGCGAAGCTAATTCGCGTAAATTCTGCACATTTCCTTATGCACTGTGAAGATTAACGGTTACAAATAATTTGCTTGTAAACGGCAAAGTAACAGTATGTTTGTAAAAAAGCAATATTTAAGCAATAGAAAACTTTTATTCCTGTGTTTGCATAGCCTGATGTAAACACTAGAACACTAGAGGGGCTGGGAGAATTCGAGACAGTTATGCAAACCCTCGACGTCGTCTCAGGTTTGCATAACTGTCAAGATCGAATAAAGAATAAAGTCCTAAATGTAATAACATTTGGCCCTAAATGTAATAAACTCTTAAGATACCAATTACCGTATTTATGCGAATAAGCATCGCTCTAAAACAAGCGCAGTAATTGGTAAAGACG